GGGTCTGGCTGGCCTGGGGCCAGAACCGCCGTTTGCATGCAAAGGGCCGCTTAACACTTGCAACATGCGCTGTGTGGAGTGGAAAAGGCGGCTCCCATCGATCATTTGAAGCACAGGGCGGCCTGCAGCTGCCCCCTGCCTATCTCTCTCATGTCCCACAAACGCGCGCGCCCCTCCCCTCCAATTTGCCGACCCCCTTCTAGGCACGTGGGCGCCCTGTATGTGCCCTATGTCTACCCCCAGGAAAATGGCGGCCGAACAGACACCTCTTGGCTCACCATCAGCGGCGGCCCCGGCCCCGCCCTCGCCTTTGTCTGCACCTCCAACGCCGCCGCCAGCGGCCCCGCGGCCGCGGCGCCGGGCGCGCGGGCGGCGCGGCCGGCGCTGGCGCTGTTCACCGTGGCGCGCCACGGGTGGCGGGCAGTGCAGGAGGCGAGGCGGCCGTACCGGCTTGACGAATGCGAGCGCGCCGCAGCAGCAGCAGAAGCCGCCGCCAGAGCAGCCGGCGCAGCAGCAGCAGCAGCAGCTGCGGCGGCGGCGCCGGAGTCCCCCAGCGCCGTTGCAGACGCAAGTGGCGGCGCAGCGGCGGCCGTGGAAGGCGACGCGCCGCCCGACGCGCCGCCCGATGAGCCGGCCATGCTGCATGTGCACCTGGATGCGGCGCACATGGGGGTCGGCGGGGACGACTCGTGGAGCCCGTCGGTGCACGACGCCTATTTGGTGCCCCCGGGGGAGTACTCGTTTGGCGTTGCCCTGCTCCCACTGCCACTGCCCGGCCCCCGCGGCACATGATGGCGGAGCGACGGCCGCGCCTCATGCCGGGGCCGCAGCGCTGCTGCGCACCCCTCGCCGCAGAGCCGCAGCGGCGAGCACGCGTGCGGGGCGCAGCGGCGCGGGGGGCTGCGGCGCGGGGGGCTGCGGGGGTGGGGCGCTTGGTCTGGCGGACGGCTTAGTGCTGCGGGCGCAGCCGCCTGAGCGGCGGGTGCGACGGGCCTGCCCTTGTGACCCTGCATGCTGCTACACAGTCTTTGTGTCAGCTATGAATTGGGAATAGAGGGTCGAAACCACCTGGTGCTTGCTGCCGCTTGAGAACGTGTTTGCCATGAAATTGGCCATTTTGAGGCTCGTCCAACGGCCTGGTCCCCTGCCATGTGTCTCCCTCACCCTGCAGTCAAGGGGGGTCAGCATTCCTGATCTGAAGTGAAGTCTATTTTTATGGTTTCTTGCAGCTGCTGCAACGGCATTTTACTTGCGCCTGCGCTCCCGCTGGCGGGGGCGCCAGCAACGGCACAGCCAGGGCCGCGGGCGCCGCGCGGAGCGTCAGAAGGATGTGCGAGGCGCAGCCCGATGTTTTCCCGCGTGGTCGAGCGATCTCAGGCAGATGCTGGCACGCCGTGTCCATACGAGCGCGCGGCTTCACCAGCCCACGCAGCAGCCCGCTGCAGCGGCGACCGCGCTCAGACGACCCCGCTACGTAGTAGGTGATGATGTAAACCCGTTGGTACTTTGGTTGAAACCTTGCTTTGCACGGGGGCTGCTGGCACGTCATTGCTGTCAATGACCTGACTGGCAAACACACCAGGGCGAGGCGGGAGCCCGTGTGAACTGACCGCTGGAGCGCTGCCGCCGCGGCAGGCACATGCACGAGCGTCCAAACGGGGTCCGTCAGCAGCTGCAGGATGCAACAGCTAGGACAGTCCCAGCAGCACACCGAATTAACAGAGTGCCATGGCGTGAACGCCGGCCGCCCCAACACCAACAGCAGGAAGGGCGCCAACACCGAAGACGGCCATATGCACATTTGTCCAACACAGCATCAAACCAGAGCATCCACCCGCGCTCGAGGGGTCAGCGGCTCCCCAGGAACACACAAAATTCAGTCCCTGCAACACGACCGCTCTGCAAAACACCGCTGCTAGTCCGGGTGGCTGTCGATCCACGCCGCAACGTCCGAGTGGCCGAGCCCCTCGGCGGTGGCGCGGCAGAGGATGCGGATCCAGGGACAGCCATCCATCAGCGCATATCGCAGCATATCGAGGTGGCCGCAGATCGCAATGGCGAGGCTCGTCCTGACATCCCAGGGGCACCCGTTTTCGTGCGCCCACTGCAGGACCCACAGCCGGCGGCCTGCGGCCGCAGCCGCGCACGTCTTCTCGTCCCACGGGCAGCCGACTGCGCGCCCACATTGCAACACGTCCAGGTGGCCCCCTTTCGCAGCCTGCTCGCACACCGCAGCGTCCCAGGGGCAGCCGGCAAAGATGGCCCACTGCAGCACGCCAAGGTGGCCCCGCTCCGCCGCCGCATGGCACGTCTCCACGTCCCAGGGGCAGCCGGCGATGCGCGCCCACTGCAGGATGTCAAAGTGGCCGCCCCGTGCCGCTTCCGCGCAGGTTGATTTGTCCCAGGGGCAGCCTTCCCCGCGTGCCCACTGCAGCAACCCAAGGTGCCCGCCTTGCGCTGCTTTTGTGCAGGTGGATTCGTCCCAGGGGCAGCCGGCGCCGTGCGCCCACTGCAGGATCTCAAAGTGGCCGCCCGCGGCCGCGGCGGAGCAAGTTGTGGCGTCCCAGGGGCAGCCTTCGCTGTGTGCCCAGCGCAGCAGCTCTAGGTGTCCGCCCTCGGCCGCCGCGGCGCACGTCGCAGCGTCCCATTCGCAGCCGTGGGTGTGCGCCCAGCGCAGCAGGGCAAAGTGCCCGCCACCAGCTGCGGCGCTGCACGTTGTGGCCGACCACGGGCAGCCGGCGCTGCGCAGCCACTCCAAAACGCCCAGGTGGCCGCCCTGCGCGGCGGCATTGCAAGCGACGCCGTCCCAGGGGCAGCCGGAGTCATGCGCCCAGCGCAGCACTTCCTGGTGGCCGCCCTGCGCCGCCGCGGCGCACGTGAAAGAGTTCCAGGGGCAGCCAGCGGCGCGCGCCCAGCGCAGGAGCTCCAAGTGCCCGCCCAAGGCCGCGCCCTCGCACGCGATGCTTGACAGCTGGCAGCCGCCCAAGTGCAGCCAGCGCAGCACCGCCCTGTGCCCGCGCCACGCCGCCACCCAGCATGCATCTTCGTTCCACGGGACGCCGACCGCGCGGGCGACGCGCAGCACGTCGAGGTGGCCGTTGAACGCCGCCGCTGTGCACAGCTCCTCGCCCTCGTCGCAGCCGTTGTCCAGCGCCCACAACACTGCCTCGGCGTCCCCGGTGCTCGCGGCGCGCAGGACGGCCGTGCGGCGCTGCCGCGCGGTCAGCCGTGGCCACGCGCGGAGCAGGAACCACTGCGGCAGCTCAAACGCCGCCAGCCGGTGGTACTTTGTGTCGGTGGGGTCGGTGCTGCCGGTCGGCGCGGCGAAGGGCGCGCCGCCGCGCAGCTGCAGCTCGGCGCGCACGGGCGCCGCCCATGCCCGCCAGCTGCGGCTGAGCGCGCCGACGGTCATGCACTGCGCGCCCGCCGGCAGGCGCTGGAAGATGGCCTCCAGAATTGCGGGGTGGCCAACGCCCTTGGGGCCAGGGCTGACAAATAGCTGGCTGCATCGAGCGAGCGCCCGCACCAGCACGCTGCAAACGGCGCCCATGGTCGATCTAGTGCGATATGCCTTGCGCCTGCAGCTTGACGCCTGGCGTCAGTGCCTAGCTGCTGCCTGTCGCTGGCCGCCTGCTGCGGCCTGTCGCCTGCGGCCGCCTGCTGCCTACTGTCTGGTGGCTGTGGTGCACCTGAGCTTGCTCTGTGGGGTTCCAGGGGCCAGTTCAAGGTGAGGTGATATTCCAGCACAACAGGCGGAGTCTTTTGTTGCTGCCTCGTCAGCTGGTGCGCAGCACCAGAGCGTTTCAGCATCAGCACCTATGTGCCAGCTTGCGGCGCCCACCGAAGGCACCGGGACAGGCTTAATTGAGGATCAGGTGCTCAATTCCTCCCCTGTTGCGGTTTCCGAGTCTCCAAGGCTCACGCGGTCGCCTTCGGATCGATCACGCGGAATCCGAGGGGGGCACCGATCAGTCCACCCTTGCTTCGCGCTGGCTGGCGATTTGGAGCGTGACTTTGCACAGGAGGGCTGGATGGATCATCACAAAGCGTCAGCGCCAGGGCACAGCTGACATCTGAAGACTCTTGTTGTGGACGCCGAGGTTTGTCATCAGGGTGCCATGTCGGCACTGGAGGCTGAGCTGCCCTTGCAGGGGGCTCTGACCCGCTCATGTGGGGCTGCTTTGGCTCCCTGCACTAGTAAGACGTGCTATTTGGGCCCTGGCATGGCTCCAAGTTGTTGTGCACTCCGCGCAAGGTGCAGTCCCACAAAACCCGTTGCTGCAGCAACCCGTGTCCCCACTGTTTTCTGAGGGCAAGCGCTGGTTACATCACGGGCGATCGGCCCATGGAAATAGCAACAGAAGCCCCCCCCTCTAAGCTGCGCAGCCGACCCGGGCAAGCCGCCGCGCGCCGCAAGGCCGCACGGCGGGGCCGCCCTCGCGCCACTGTCGCCGTCACCGCCCGCGCGCGCCGGCGGCAGAGTACTGAGCGGCGAGCGCGTCGATGTCGAGGCCGGCAAACTCAGAGGGGTCCATCTTCTCCACGGCGGCCACCAGGGCCCGGTAGTCCACCTCGCCCCGCACGATGGGGGAGGAGGACGCGGCGCGGACGTCGGCGGTGGTGGGCAGCTTGTCGAGGGCGGCCTGCCACGACTTGGGCACGTTGACGCGGCCCGCATCCACCTGGGGTGGTGTGTGTGAGTGTGAGTGTGTGTGTGCGTGTTTGTGTATGTGTGTGTGTGTCTGTGGAGGGTGGGAGCATGCACCAGTGGATGCCCTACCATACGTGCGTGCGGCTTCAAGAGCAGCCGGCAGACAGCTGGTTCGCGATTCACACCAACGGTCCAACGAGGGCGTCCGCCCCAGACCGCAGCTTTTGTCAAGGGTTGACGCCCCGCGCCCCGCACCCCGCCAGGCCGGAACTGCCGCGCCTGAGCCCCCAAAGGGGGGAGGGCAGCGGGGAGGGGAGGGGAG